ATCACTTTGATGCTGACTATTTAATCTCTTGACCTCCTCAATGAAATTCAAACGATTACATTCAACTTTATCCATCCATTCCTTCAGAATTTGGTCATGTCCTACTTCTTGATCATGAATTTTATGATTATAATCATCTCGACAAGCTAACAATTTATTTTCTTTTTCTTTAATCAATTGTTCAATATTTGCGTTATGCTTTGCTTTTATATCTAATAATTCTTGCTGATATTGTAATCGGCATATTTGCAATTGATCTTGAAGGTTTAAATTATGTCTTTCCTCTAGATCATCAAACTTTACTTGCCACTGTAATTTTAAACTATTAATATCTTCTTCAAGCTGATTTTGCACGCTAGTTAATTTCGTTTGGCAATCTTTAACTAATTTGCTTCTTATATCTTCTTTTTCTTTCTGCCATGACCATTGCATCTTACTTATTTCTTCTTTATTTTGATTTTGTAAATTTGTAATTCTAATCTTGCAATCTATTAACATCTGTCTGACCACATTTTCCTTCTCTTCAAGCAATGTTGATTTTAAGTTGTTTATATTGTCGTTGTATTTATTTTGTAAGTTATTAATTTTAGCTTCATGCTCTTCTCTTATTTCTATCTGGATCGATTCTTTCTCTTTCTGCCATGATACTTTCATCTCGTTTAGCTCTAATTCATGACGATTTTGAGTATCGCAGAGTTTAACTTGATATTCATTATGTAAGTTTTCCTTTAATAATTCTTTCTCTTCTTCACATAGTCTATTTATCCTCTTAATTTCGTCTTCATGATGGTTTCTTGTGTTTACTAATTTGATTTTGTAATCTTCTAGTATATCTCGCTCTATTACTTTTTTCTCTTCAAGTAATGTTGATTTTAAGTTGTTTATATTGTCGTTGTATTTATTTTGCAAGTTATTAATTTTAGCTTCATGCTCTTCTCTTATTTCTATCTGGATCGATTCTTTCTCTTTCTGCCATGATACTTTCATCTCGTTTAGCTCTAATTCATGACGGTTTTGAGTATCGTAGAGTTTAACTTGATATTCATTATGTAAGTTTTCCTTTAATAACTCTTTCTCTTCTTCACATAGTCTATTTATCCTCTTAATTTCGTCTTCATGATGGTTTCTTGTGTTTACTAATTTGATTTTGTAATCTTCTTGTATATCTCGCTCTATTACTTTTTTCTCTTCAAGTAATGTTGATTTTAAATTGTACATATTGTCGTTGTATTTATTTTGCAAGTTATTAATTTTAGCTTCATGCTCTTCTCTTATTTCTATCTGGATCGATTCTTTCTCTTTCTGCCATGATGCTTTCATCTCGTTTAGCTCTAATTTATGACGGTTATGAGTATCGCAGAGTTTAACTTGATATTCATTATGTAAGTTTTCTTTTAATAATTCTTTCTCTTCTTCACATAGTCTATTTATCCTCTTAATTTCGTCTTCATGATGGTTTCTTGTGTTTACTAATTTGATTTTGTAATCTTGTATATCTCGCTCTATTACTTTCTTCTCTTCAAGTAATGTTGATTTTAAATTGTACATATTGTCGTTGTATTTATTTTGTAAGTTATTAATTTTAGCTTCATGCTCTTCTCTTATTTCTATCTGGATCGATTCTTTCTCTTTCTGCCATGATGCTTTCATCTCGTTTAGCTCTAATTCATGACGGTTTTGAGTATCGCAGAGTCTAACTTGATATTCATTATGTAAGTTTTCTTTTAATAATTCTTTCTCTTCTTCACATAGTCTATTTATCCTCTTAATTTCGTCTTCATGATGGTTTCTTGTGTTTACTAATTTGATTTTGTAATCTTGTATATCTCGCTCTATTACTTTCTTCTCTTCAAGTAATGTTGATTTTAAATTGTACATATTGTCGTTGTATTTATTTTGTAAGTTATTAATTTTAGCTTCATGCTCTTCTCTTATTTCTATCTGGATCGATTCTTTCTCTTTCTGCCATGATGCTTTCATCTCGTTTAGCTCTAATTCATGACGGTTTTGAGTATCGCAGAGTCTAACTTGATATTCATTATGTAAGTTTTCCTTTAATAATTCTTTCTCTTTCTGCCATGATGCTTTCATCTCGTTTAGCTCTAATTCATGACGGTTTTGAGTATCGTAGAGTTTAACTTGATATTCATTATGTAAGTTTTCCTTTAATAACTCTTTCTCTTCTTCACATAGTCTATTTATCCTCTTAATTTCGTCTTCATGATGGTTTTTTGTGTTTGCTAGTTTAATTTTGCAGTCTTCTTGTATATCTCGCTCTATTACTTTCTTCTCTTCAAGTAATGTTGATTTTAAATTGTACATATTATCGTTGTATTTATTTTGCAAGTTTTTAATTTTAGCTTTATGCTCTTCTCTTATTTTGTTTTGGATTGATTCTCGTTCTTCTTGCCATATCATATTTATTCTTTTAATTTCCTCTTCATAATAGCTTTTCATATTTGCAAGTTTAACCTTGCAATCTTCCTGCATATTTCGCTCAATTACTTTTTTCTCTTCCT